ACTCTTTCCTTCATTGCAATATCAAGCATTGAAACCATCAGCTGTATGTTTAACACTGAAAAACTGTTATCTTCCCTTCTTTCAAACTGTAGTTCATTGTGTAGAAACAGATTTCCTAAAATTTTAATCCCTTGCAAATCACATACAGTAGAAGAGTCTCAGCAATCCAATGCATAAAGGGAGAATGTAGAAAACCATGAAAGTAAAGTTCAGAAATGATTGAAAAACTTCCAAGGAAAGAAATTTGTCAGAATCATGAATCAGTATTGGTTCATGAAATATTTTTCCAGTTTCTTGTTTTGGGTTTCTATGGGATAGCTCATAGGATCCAATTGAATTCACCCTTGTTTTTCCTGGCAGGCTTCTGGAGGAGGTGTTGGAGATGGAAACCTGCTTTCAAATGCAGCTAGTATAACTAGGACACAGTTCCCAGCTGTTTAGGAGGCCTCAAAACCCCAGGGATCCTGGGGACAGACACCTGCAAAGGAACACAGAAAGAGCACCAATGCACAGAGCACCTGGAAAGCCTCCCAAGGAGCAGATGTCATTTCAGAAACTCCATGGGTCACTGTCAGAAAAATAAACAACATAAAAACAAGATGAGAGAAGTGTGGAAAAAATGAAGAACTAGGACAGCTGGTGGCAATTCTTGCTTAAAGAACAAACTCTTTCTTTTCCCCCAAACATTCTAATTTGGTATTGGAATGCAAACATGAGGCCAGACTGCAAAGTCCCTCATTTATACAATACAATTACTGATGCCAATAATGTTTTGCCAAGATACAACTGAACTTATTTGTTTGAATTGTTTTGTCCTGTGTTTTCTTTTAAGACATTCCCCACAAAGAAAGAAAACTTTAGCCCAACCCTTCCTTCTTGTTAGTAATAAATAAACAGTACAGTTATATGCTAGATGTAACTAGTTTATTCTGAAATGTGTCACACAAGATAAGCATATATCAGTGCTCATGGAAAAAAGCAAACCAGTTTCCTTGTATAAAAGTGATTTTGATTTTTTTTTTTCAATAGCTATTTACATTTCTTTTTGTTGTTGATGTTGTGGTGTCTAAGTACAAAATCTTAAATATCTGATTGATGAAAACACCTCAAAGTAGTACTGTAACTCAATACTATGCATTTACTGATACACTATGAGATGTTTTTTAAGCTCTTGTATAGAACCAGTTATTGTCACAGAATAAACATAATACTGTCTAGGTGTAGTAGTTGCTCTCAATCCTGATAAAAACTGTACGAAATATATGAGATAGTTATCATGAGTGCAAAATATAAATGATAAGTAAATCCACAAAAGCAATTTCAACAGTTTGACTGGCATCTATGGAAAATGAATTTATTGAAATAATATGATTGGCAAGTTTTGTGGAGTTCTTTACATTAGTAAAGCTTATGCTACTTAAGATTTCACTGTCTTTCAAAGGCAAGGCGCGGCTTCAAGTGAATGGTAATTTTTAATTGAGAAAAACCCAATAGATACTAATAAAAACAGTTCTTTAAAATAAATGCATATAGATCAAATGCGTGAAATGTATGTCTGAAGATAAGGTTATCATTAATATTCTCAAATCACTGTATTGCATAAAGATAGAAGGCAAAGATTAAATGTTTTTACATTTGGCAATTTTTAAAGAAATAGCAATGCATTTTGCTTCCTTAAGGGTAAGTCAGAATACTACAATTAATGACATGCTAAACCTACATATGGTAAACAATAAAATAAATCATCTTAAGAGTAGAACAAATGCAAGAAAACCTGGTTGAGCACTGAGTTCTCCAGTGTTTAAACCAGTAAGAAACAAAAGTTAGTATTAATGTATTAGTATGAAAAAGTAACTGAGTATTCACGGAAAATATGGGCATAATTTGTTTTTACTGAGAAATATGGGGAGTGGCCTATGATGTATATATTGCTGTTACTGAAAAGAGAAAAGGAGAGGCTTTCCTCTTAAACACTGAAAAAGCTACAATTTACATGTGCTCATGCATTTCTGTCAAATACAGCACTACAACTTGCAAAATACTGGGTCTGTGCACATTCCCAATTTTTACATCATTATCCTTCTCCATCACTAAAATATGCCAAGACAGTTCACATCTGCTTTTCACATATCTCAAAACATTTTCTTACTAATTTTTTTTTTTTTTTTTTTTTTCAGACAGGTCTGGCAAATAGCTTTCAGGACAGAGCTTATTTTATCTGTTTCTCACCCCTCCCCACTTCTTTTCCAACATTACCACTGTGCCTCTGGTAGATATACTCGTATTTGTAACTAATTTGTAGCGTTAACATTTTGGCCTTGCATAAACCTGGGTAGTTCAACAAACTTTCTAGCAATAGCCTCACATTTCATTGCCATTTAGCAGGTCTTGTAAGTATAAGCTCTACAAATAGGTTAGCACTGAAGTTTTACAAGTTGCATATCCAAATTTCACACAGTTATCTTCTACTTAATGCTGCTGAAGCACTGCAGTCTACAAAAGCAACCTCAGGAGCAAAATCTGCACACATACATACATACACAAATTGATTCTTGCGCCAAATACAGAAAAAAACCCCCAATTTCACAGTCACTGTTTTCACAAGGCCATGAGCAGAGCAATAAATTGGTAATATTTAGATTCAGATCTTATTTTCATTTGGAAAATGGTTAGTTTGATGACATTAAAACCAAAACAACAACAAAAAAAAAGTTGCAGCATGGCTTTCCTTTCCTTCCTTAGTATGCTTGAGGAAAAAGATGGCCAATTCTTTACGTTAATAACAGTTTTCATCAGACACAACGTAAAAGCAACACCAACAGTGAAAGGATTGCAGATGATCTGTGTCCCTGAATTATATGCATACTGTAACAGGATACGAGTGTACTATGTTTATATTAAAAATATACTCAACACTTAATGAACTATACTCTGAACTCTCCTAGGCCAACTTTGCAACAGAAGCTGTAATTTTAATGTATTTCCACAGTATTTTTTAGATATTTGGTTTTGGGTTAATTTTTTAATCATAGAATCATAGAACGGTTTGGGTTGGAAAGGACCTTAAGATCATTTAGTTCCAACCCCCCTGCCGTGAGCAGGGACACCACACACTAAACTATGTCACCCAAGGCTCTGTCCAGCCTGGCCTTGAACACTGCCAGGGTTGGAGCATTCACAACTTCCTTGGGCAACGCATTCCAGTGCCTCACCACCCTCACTGTGAAGAACTTCTTCCTTATATCTAACCTAAACTTCCCCTGTTTAAGTTTAAACCCATTACCCCTTGTCCTACCACTAGAGTCCCTAACGAAGAGTCCCTCCCCAGCATCCTTGTATGCTAAATGATAAACAACAGTGACAAAATTAATCACCATATTCTTCTACAGTCTCTTTGTACTTTTATCTTTACTTCTATTCTTTTGATCTTTCACCCAGTTGCTAGGGATTCAAATCTCATTAGTCAGCATTTTATAATTCCGTGTTAAGAAATATAATTATTTCAACTTGGGATAGTATTTTAAGTCACTTCACTTAAGTATTTGCTTGGGAAATGGTCCAGAAGATGAGGTCAACTGAATCCAGCTTTACAATCCACACTTGGAATACAACAGATGAAACATAAACAATTACTGAAATGTTGCCTTCATTCTGCGCAGTGTGTCCTGAATTTTTCGAGAATGTTTTTCTGCTGGTATCTGATGGAAGTTGGCACAGTTGTCAGCTGCCAAGACAGAAACATCTGCATCTTTAAAACGAGTTATTCTTTGTCTGAGGTAAGATTGCAGCTTGAAATCTGGTGTATATGTGTAAGGATTCTCTTGAAACGCATGAACTTGGCTCACAACTTTTGCAATATTTCTTGAAAGAGAATATAGAAAAAAAAATTAGTTTGTTTGGCTGACAATAAAAACAAAACCAAACTCCCTAAACCGAAGGAGGAAATTCAAAGGCATCGAGCATTCTCTTCCACAGTGTATGTCCCTTTGACTGAAGCTATTTAAACTGCTAACTGTGAAATGCTGCATTAGCTTTCATTATCCCTTTAGACAACAGTCTATTTTAAAAAAGGTAGGCGATATACATATATAATTAAATTTACCTAAGTTTAGTCCACTTGTGAGCTCCGTTTGTCATTGTGAATCCTCCAGTTTCAAGTTGTTGGACATGCATAGCCAAAACATGGGCTGAGGGAATTGTTGGAAGTGTTTTGTATCTTCCTCCTTCCATCAAGCACAAGCTGTCACTTTTTAAAAACACCTAGTTTAAAAATGCACACAGATAAATCTCATGTTAAGTACCAGGGCAGGTTTTAAAAGAAGTTCCGCACTTCATGTGTTTAGCATTACGGATTTATTTGTCATGAATATTAAGTTTTGGCATTGAAGAATACAGTATGAATTAATCTGGTGGCAAACATTTTAAAGCACTCAAAGTAATCAAAATATATTTCATACATAATTGTAATTGTTCTAAATCATAACCAAAATGTTTTAGAACTTCATTCTATGATTCAAAATTGCACAAATCAGTAAGAGAATGCCGGTGATAAAATAAACATTTAAGATTTTTCAAAACAGATTACAGCCACAAAGCTTCTGCAGACATCGTCAGGAAAAGTGTATCGAATGTTCTAGCTTGCTTTGAAACTTCTTTATTTTTAGTCACACAGGATATGTTTTTGAGAAATACTGAGAGGAAAATTTGCGTAAACCTCTTGGATTAAGAGCCAAAAGTCTTATATCAAATTAAAATCTCCTTCATAATACAAAATAATAATTATGGCTTTCATGCTGCAGAGGCACTCACTTAAGCAGAACTTGCATCTTCTCCAACCCCAAAGGAGTTTTTTTACATTAAAGACTTCATACTATACCTCAACAGCCTTGAGTTCCTCCATTATTTCGGCTACTTTTGCAGGTAAAATTTTCCAGGCCTTACAAGAAAACAAAATACATTTTTATTTTTCACATTAATGTTTAAATTGGAAAAAGATTATGTTAAGCAGAATAGTTACAGAACAGAGCCCCAGACTTACTGGTAACTGTCGTACAATAAGATTTTCTAAGCCTGATAGGATTTGCATCGCAGTAGCAAAATTCCTTTGTTCATAGCAGCCTTTTGCTATAAGAAGAAATTTTGATAACAAGCTCACCTGCAACTGAAAAGAAGAAAATTAAGATATACTATATATATATAATATACTAAATATATACAGTAAATCTACATAAATCTACATAATAAAATTAAATGAGAAGGAAAAAGAAGAGGTGTATTTTCTTTTTGAATTTGTTACAAAAATTGGTGACTGTAGTAACATTTCCCTCCTACACAGATTCCCATTTCCTGTCACCAAGTTGTCCTTGTTAAAGTCTGACACCTATTCTCCTCAGGCAACCCATTTCTTACATTTTAATAGGTTTTGAGATCTACTACTACAAAACATCCAAGACATCCAAGACCCTCCTTGCAAACCAAACTGTTAACTGCCATCTCACAGGTGTATTTCACAATATTTATGGCAGCTTTGCTATATAGCAACCCATATACAATAACAATAACTATTTTATAATTAATAATACAATAAAACAATGACAAACCTTAGATGTGTGACATGTTACAATTTCAGCAGCAACCCAGGTGCTGACACTGTCTGCATTACTTAATAATTGTAGAAGGTACTGGTCTTGTATGCACTTTGACAGAAACAGATTACAGACTTTAAATGAAACTGTCTCAGCAGAAACAGCTCTATGGAGAAAACGGGGGAAAAAAGACAAAAAATAACTCATGTTGACTTTGGATTTTCAAAGAAAATCTTGATTGTGAAGATGCCAACTTCTAACCATTTAAAATGATTTTGCTGTGTTTGCAGTCTCGAGTTTATGATCTTTTACAAAGCACATAGTGAACTATGTCACTTTTTTCTCCTATAATTACAAGATAATTATATGTCATTTCAAGATAAGCACATAGTATACATTTCTGTTCATAAAGACACCTTCACCACTTGTTACTGAATAAAGCAAACTGTCTAATCTGATGCAGTGTAACAGCCAGAAATCCAAACTCATTAAAAACTGCAGTCACATAAAAAATTAAGCCTGATACCTAGTGGCGCCATACAGTTTCCCATGCTTGAACCACTGAATCAGTATAAGCCAGCCAATTCAGCCTCTGTCATTTAACAATCTGTAAAAGATGAGCTGCTTTAGATGTTCACTCCCTACCCTTACAAAAAAGTCTACTACAGGTAGTGCAATTAACAAATATTAATTAAAAACTAGCTGAATCCACTGAGTATGTAAGAAGCAGACCATAATCAAATATAATTAGGTCCATGTGGCTGTATGAAAACAATAATTACCATTGAGCAAGTAATTTAAATAGGTTGGTAACTGCTCTAACAATGAGAGGAAAATTCTTATCTATCTGTGAATTCTCGATACTTCATCTACCTAACAGTACAAAATGAACATTGCACAGAGAAGCTCTGAAGTTTCCATCCACATTTAGAACCCAACTGTGCAAAGTCCTGGTCAGGCTGCTCTTGTTGACCTTGCTTAGGGCAGGGAATGTTGTACTACATGATCTTGAGAGGTCTCTTCCAACCTCAGCTATTCTGTGACACTATAATGGTCCCTAAGATTTTAGATACATACATACACGCATGATCAAGAAACCTGTTTCAGAAACTATTCTTTTTTTTTTTCTCCCTGCCAAAAATGGAACCTTTGAAGCAACCCCCCAGCACAAGCCTTCAGAAATATTTTGGCCTTGACCCACTTTAGATTTCAAAGAAATCACCTTTCAAATGCAACCTACCACGTATGTGCATAGCTACATGTACATACACATGTATAAAATCTCCTGAAAGTAAAAAATTTATACGAACAGACTATCTAGTCTGTTGAAAAGATATTAAGCATTTTAAATGTTTTTCTCTTCCTGGATATATTACAGGTGTAAACCAGTAAGTTATTGTGCATCAGCAGAATAGAGGGCAGTTAAAACAAACAACTTACTTTTGGACAGAAACACATTTGTCTTTAACACCAAGTGCTCTTGAATTTAGAAAGTGTACTGGATGACATTTATGAAATACTTCCTAAATAAAAAGAGCAAGATATATCTGTTGTTAAGATCTAGTAGTTCTTTTAAAATACTCAGGGATAAAAATGACAGACAATCCCCTCCCCTCCCCCTCTCTTCAGCAATTTATCAGAGGGATCACAGTCTAAATTTTACTGTAGAAAGTTCAGAGAAAAAATGGATCATTTTAATTCAAAGTCTTAAGAAGTAGTATGAAATAGCTTGAAAGAGGGTTGGGAAATGTTAGGCAAAGAAGGGTGAGTATAATGTAAGAAGAAAGATATTATTTGTACTTCCAAGTAAACCTAGACCTCTGTACCTGTTGCAGTAATGTCAGCTGACAACAAAGCTCTTGCACACTGTATTCTATTAAGAGATATGGTCCTACTTCATCTGATTTAGTAAAGGAGACCGGGAATTCTTCTCTAAAACTGTTGTAGCATGGCTTTGGCAAAACTGATGAACTAGTGTACAGTCGCTCTCTCTGATATTGTGCAATTGGTCCCACACCTTTGGAAAGTTTCCAGTTAAAGTTCTGTAGGAAAGAAAAAAACCAAATCATAACATCTTTAAATCAAATATTATATCTCCCCTTGATGTAACTTCCTGGAATGTTCTGTTAGAGAAACTCCTTTGTGGATGCAAAACTCTTCAGCTAATCTTCAAGGTTAGCCCAGACACTGATTGGTTTATTCAACACTGCTATTTTAAGCTAATATGCACAGTCAATGAGTCTGTGCCGTAGGCTGCCAGATCTCAATCAACAATCAGTATTTAAAACAAACTTCTGTGTATTCAGGCTTGCTGCCATAATGTGGTACATATTCTTAAGTTCTATATTTTATATTCTACTTCTTACTATTTCTTGTACTCTTTTGCTTAGAATCAAACATCCCTTTCCAAAGAAATATTTGGTTTTCCATTCTTTTCCCCTTTTCTATCTTCTGGTATCATTAAAATGCAGTAACAGCAAAACAAGTCCATGTTTCTCTATTCTGCTTGCCCTTTATTGGTTGAATCCCCAGCATACTCTGTGGGGTTCTGCACCTTTTTCCCAGAGGTTGATTCTAAATTCAGCTTACACATTATAGATACATTTGACTTCCACATGCCATTTCGGTCACTCTGTTGAGGATTTTTTTTCAGGAAAAGCATACATCATGTTCTGGCTTCTGGGGTTATTTTTCACTAGCACACTCTATAAATCAGTAAACATGGACAAAAGTTCAGACAAGTTTTTGCTACAAGCTTTGAAGTTTTAGCAAGAAACCTCTCACCTCCTGCTGTTTTCCTATATTTATAGTCTTACAAAGATATATGCCTAGTAAAAAGTATTTATCTTTGACAAGGGGGAAAAGGTTTCCTAACAACTATGAGTCACATGCTAATATCAAGACTGAAGAGTTCAGCTTCTCTCAAAACTATTATCTGATCCATTATTATTGAAACAGCTGACAGGGCACACATTAAGGTTTAAGATTATTTCCACAGTTATAGAACAGTTTAGGCCTTAGTACTTCCAAAAGAAAATTTAAAAGACAGGTAGATAATTTTTGCTAAATAAGGATCTGGACCGTGAGCTGGATCTCTACTTTTTGTAAGGAAATAATCAATGGAAATGTGTTCCGTATACCACAGTCTGGTGAAAAGACATACCTTTCTGGAAACATCTTCTGAGAGTTTTTTACATAGGGAATGTAATGTTTTTCTGTCCTCCTCACCTTCCTCTTCACATTTGTCCATGCTGGAGCTCTGATGAGCACTGCCACTTTTCCTGGCAGAAGCATCCTCAAGCAATGACAACAAACGCTCACCATAGCCATTTAATGGAGCAACCTGTAAATGCAAAAGAAGTTAACAGAATATTGAACTCAATTTCCCATAAAATATAAGCAAGACACAGTATCGTTGAAAGATCCATGTCTGTCCAAACCCAAACATTTCAACATATCTGTCAAAGACAGAGGTATTTTTCTTTTACTTTAATTGTAAGTAGGACAGTTTTTCATAATAACAATCTTAGATATACCCTAACTGACTTAAACTGATTTCCATCCTCCCCCCCCTCCCCGCCTTAAAGCCTCTGCTGAAATTCCTGACTTACCTTGGAAGAAATAAATTCTTTTAGGGTGCACAGAAGGTCAGTATTTGTTGCAAAGTCTACACTGTAGCAGTCTTCAATCCAAGCCTGCAGGATGTAGAAACTGCGGTTACATATTTTGGTAAGTGAGGTGGAAGGATCCAGGCTTGCACTGGTGAGAAGAAAAAGGCACTGTTTTAACCAAAATTGATATCCAATCCCAATTTAAACATACGTGTTCAATAAACCACAAGTTTATTTTTGAAATGTTAAGTCATTAAAAAAGCCACAAGTATCATTTGGTAATGACTGTACTATCTGAAACTTAAAAGTTTCATGTCTGTAGAATCCATGGCTCTATGGAAACAAAGCTGTGGTTGTACTTACAACCCATCACTGAACAACTGGTAAAAGTAAGAATTCAGAAATAAAAAAAAAAAAGTAAGCACATTGTCACATATAGCACTTGCTTTAGGGTCACTCTCACTTTTCAAGAGTCTTACAAGAACAAACATCAAAATTCAGTTTAATCAAGTAAATCTTTTCAGAAACATCTATTTGCCATTGGGGGGGATATGACAGCGGGACAGTTGTGCTTTAATATAATTTTCACAGGAAATTACTGTACCTGGATAAAGTGCTGCTGATTCTATCAAGAAGAAACTGCAAAAATTCTTCTTGTGTGCAGAAATAGCGAAATGTGTAGAGAAACTGCTGTACGTACCCTTCTAAAAATGCATTTCTGCGAAGCACAAGAAAAACCTCAGACAAGTAAAAACACATTTTCTTCTTGCATCAGACTACAGCAACAGGAAAAAAAAAATCCTCAAAATATCATGAATTAACAGGGATTTTAAATTCTGAAGCTCTACATAAAACCTGGATTCCTTTTTATTTTATTTTTACACATCAAATATTGTGATTGCCAACACTGAAAGCATTATTTGTTTTAAAAAAGTTTCTCTATTTGTAATTTTGTGAATAACCACTTTGACATTTCTATTATGATCAAAAATTACATTTTAAGTAGCATGGAAGAATATATTTAATTTTTTTCCCCCCATCATTTCACTTTAAAAGATTTTTATTGCAATAAGAGCATAAAAAGTAGATATTTTAAGCAAGAAAATATTTCCTGTAGCTCTAGAGTAGTGGTTGTTTTAACAACAGAATATACTCATTACGCACATTGAAAATGTGCATATTTTATTTTTTTTTATACACACACATACTTTCAAGATCTGAACACAGGTTAATTGTCCTGTCTCCTGAAGGTTTACAGCTAACCATAAAAATTTGGGTTTGATGAATGTAGAAGCTCTGACTCTAAAACAATTTCCTCACTTTGTGTGTAATACTAACTACCAGGAACAGCAGCACTCAGGATAAACAACTGATTTTCAAGAGTCAGGATGACCTGCTCCCTCTATAGTGGTACAAGTCTGATGAAGCCTCTCAGGCAGTTTCCATCCTTCATACTGTTACGGCTCAGATAGCTTAAAAGACCACCCCCCTCATCCTAGTTGAAGGTTAAAGGACATCTTTGTTCCCATGTAAGCCCTGAAAGAAGCCTGCATCTTGCATAGTCCCAAGGACTGGGGCAATAATCTGTAAAACATTTTCACTTCCAGACCCTATTAATAAGAATTATCAATTGATATGTTTTGAAGAATTGTTACACTGCTGGCAGTAACATAAACCCTTGATACCATGGCAACTATAAGTGCAAAACCTTAAATAAGGATAAAAAAGTTACAAGTTATTAGTTTTTGATTTATTGTCAAATGCTTTGAGTTTTAATCGAATCCAGACTTAACAGTTTGGCTTATTTCTTATCAGGCTGTCTTTTGCCACTTCCATGCATATTTCTGTAAATAAGTGTTCACAGAAATAAGATTAAACTCAATACAAGAGAGGAGAATTTATGCAATGTTGAGAAACTAGGATTTATCACAGACTATTTTTTCCTGAATTAGCAACTGCGTCTCAACCCGCTCCTAATTAAGGATGTGCAAAAGATACTATACCTAGAATATAAATAAGCCATTAAACCAAGTGGTGTACCAGCCTGCAGAACTCTTATTCCATTTTGATTATTACACTGGTGTTTCTCTGTGTTATAGTAAAGCAGCACTGATGACTCATCAGGTGTCACATCCACTGTGTTAATTCTCCCATTGTGAATGACTGTAGGCAGCACACAGGATTCCACACCCCACTGTTCTGCATACATGATCTGCTCAAAGATGTCAAGCCATGAAAAAATAAACCATAGGAAATTAAAGCGGAAAATCCACACAAAATGCAGTCAAAGCCTCATTGCATTTCATCATAAAATTGCTTTCCCCTCCCCCCCCTCTTTTAAGCAATACTAGTAGCAGTTACCTTTTCTTTTGATAATTTAGATCCTACTTAATTTGGCACTTTGACACAAAACATTTTGCATTTCATATACTGACTTGAACAGCCAACTACGCTGATGCAGTAATGAAATGACAAAGGAAACACAAGCAAAATGAAGTCTAACTTGCCTGCACGTATTTCTTCACCAGTTCAAGAAACTGCACTTTTGATTTCATCTCCTGTAGCTGTTCTCTCAATTTGGGCAACACAGATTTAGTTTCAAGACCTTTAGATTTAAAACACACAGTGTATAAACATCAATGATTCTGATTTAAATGAAAGAAAAAAAAAATCCTTAAAAGTACTACACATTCAATTAATTACTGGCAAGTTGCTGTAATCTTACCTTTGCTGCTTCTTTCTTTCTGCAATAGTTTCTGGTAAAACTTTATGGTCTTTCTGTAATTTTTTGTCTCCATCATTAGCAATTGTTCTAGTTCCTATTTAAAGAGAAAAAGGATTCTGATCAGAATGGTAAATGCAAGGTTCGAGTAGGAAATGGAAGTTTTAGAAGAGAATTATTTTGTACGACAAAGAGAACATCCTAACAGACAATAATATGATACTAACCAGGAAAAACTACCTTTCACACCTCTGCTTACAGGCAAGCTACAACAGGCATCATCTGTCCCCATGAAAGCATTAGTTATGCCACAGTGCTACAACTTAAGAACTAGAACTAGTTTGTGTTTGATGATACTGCACTGAAGTTTGCCTGTGTCCATTTTTATAGATATGCCTTTAGTTATAATTGCACTTATCTTGTTGTTTTCCAGAGCAGTTAAAAAAGTTATACTAAGAAGTCATCCAAAATTAAAAGTGAAGGGTTCTGAAATCAGTGCAGACCTCAGAAAATCTCTGTTAAGCGGCTGACCTATATTTGCAGCAAGAACGTAGTATTTGACTAAAAGTGATGCTTTCATTCGAACATGTATAATTACATTATATTATAGAACCAGGTCAGAAGGCAGACAGGAGAGCTGCTCTATAAATAAAGGACATACTGATTTTGAAGTTCAGATTACTTATTTTATATTTATGCATTTACATAATTGAAAAAATGAACTAAATTCCTATAGAATTACATAACTTAAGCAATGGATAAAATGAAATTATACTGGGCTTCCCACATTAATATAAAATTTAATGTAAACATTTATAACTGTTTGCATATCAAAGGTTTCATTATTTTACCAACCAATGAAAATGGGCCATCCGCTTTGGGTTCAGCTTCTTATTTATTATGAAACAACACATGATGTGTGTTGTGTTTTATAAAAGTGGTGGCTTTTGCACTTGGGTCCTAAGCTAACTACCAGTGACCCAGTTACATGAAACAGCATTTTAAATGGAGTAAGTTCACTGAATGCAGCAGACAGAACTCCCACAAGCAGAGCGATCAGAAAACACATAGCTCAGAGCTAACATATCAAACAACAGATTGGTAAATAGGTTAGCTTTAATGGGATGGGCTTACTAGAAATTAATTTAAGTTTGAGAAAAACTCGTCACTGTTTTTCAGAAAAATTCAAAAGGTTTAACAACATAGTTCATTAGCAGCAAGTCACAAAAGCCCTGTGGATTTTAAAAACACTTCTACATAGGCATCACATAGAGTATAGTGAAAGCACAGAAAAGCTATTTTCTGATTCTGAATTGGAAACTGCTTGCTTTTACTTAAAAGCTTGATTTTATTTCATCAATTAAAGCGAAGCCAAGTTGATTAAGACACTGTGAACACAAAAAGGGAATCAGACAGAGTGTCCACTTTCTGATGCTTGGAATCTGATGGGCAGAAGTGGTTTGTCCCCTAAATAACTTCAGGTGAGTAGAAATAAAGTTAGTAGGAAATTCCCACTCTATTCCACAACATCTTCCATTTTAGGTAGGTCTAGGATATAAACATTTTTGATGAAGCTATACATTCAATTGTTCTGCTCCCTCTGAAGTACATTTATTTGTCAGGGCATACTTCTGTGGAAGATCCCTTAGTCTAGGGCACAAAGTAATGATAGAGTTACTTTGCTTACTTGGGAAAATTGCAAATTCCAATCTGTCCTTGAAGCATAAGTTTTTTACATCCTGAAGGATGACTTCACCAAAGGATGCAGAATATTGGCAGAAGACAAAGGAAGAGAGAAAACGAATGGGAAAGGGGAAAACTGTGGCCAGAACATCCAAAACCTTTGCTTGCAACAACGTAGCTTGGGTGCACTAAAGTTTGGTGGAGACTCTTACAAGTAGCTTATGAGATCTAGGGGATAACTGAAACCTAGTGTGGGCAATGAAGAAAAGAGCAAAGGCTAAGAGTGAAGGCTCGGGGCTGAAAACAAACTGAAAGCCAGCTTACCAGACTACAGAAAAAAAAGCTCTTATGAGGGCAGATTTGGACATCCCCCTGGAGAAATGGAAGCCCTAGTAGCTGCCTTCCCTTCTTGCTCTGCCGCAGGGACTTGGTTTGCTTTGTCTGTATTGCACTCTGTATGAGGGTGCAAAATCAGCAGCTCCTGGACTAGAGATGATGTGACGCAGGGGACATACACTTCTTTGCCTAAGGACTAACTTTTCTAAATGCAGATTAACCTCTGCTGACCTTAAGAACCACAATGAACTATCTGATAAGCACCTGAACTGCAATGAACTGATAAGCACTTACACAGTAAAGCATTGATTATTTTTATGACATTTGAAAGTGTCACCTTGATCCATAAATATTTTATGCTATTTCACATTCTGTCCAAACATAAAAGTACATATTACCTTTTTTTGAATCATAACTTGATTAATCCTACTGTTAATATTGTTCATCATACAACACGTTTTACTTTTTGCATCTTATTAAATCACAACCTAAGGTGCAGACAATATCTAACAGTTTCCGATAGAAAAATAGAAAAGTTAATTATTTTTATGGCAGGCTACTTAATTCTGACATAAATGTATGTTCTGGCACTCAGAGTTTCTCAGAACTTTTGTGTTCTCAAACCTACTTACAGGTATACAAAATTAAAGAACAAAAGAAATTTAACTGCATTTAGTTTTAGAACGTGAATAAATATACATTTGAATTATATTAATATTTTCATTGGTGAGATTAGTGTATTAGTGAGATGTATGTGTCTCCAAAACTGTAATTTGTTGTGCGGTTAGACTCTCATTCAGTGCTCAGTTCCAGCTGCAGACTAGACTTGCATTGGCCAAGCAGAGCTATTCTTTTGAAAGGGAAGTGCCACTAAGTTGAGACAAATGTAGTGAAGCTCAAATGTCTATCTTTAAACATTCACTCTTTGAAATAGCAACTCTTAAACATTGCTTTAGTGCACTTTACCACAAAGCTGTAGAATCAGGTTAACTTTATTGCTAACTTTTCAAAAATCTGTCAAAGACCTGGGGCAAGAAGTAGATAAATACAGTCCTTGTCAAATAATGAAAACTAGACTACAGCTAATCAAGGAACTGGTTTCTGAAATAAAACTGGTTTGATGAATCAGGCAGCAAAGAGACAGTAGAAAGAAGCTGCCAAAGCTACTTATCACCTACACGTTGATAATGGATTGTCTAAAGAACTTAGAATCATCATCTCCTGGCTGCTGCAATATCAGAAAAATAAATTTTCAGTTTCATTTTTTTCTTTGTCTTTCTTATATATATTGACCACTTCAAACTTGTAGCAGTTCATCATGTTTCAGCAACATTGCTGATAGTTTATTTCAGAAATTGTCATGATTGATGAAGTTTGGAAAAATAGCAGGATATTATGAAGGTTTTCTTTGCTCTGGTTAAATGTTCAAGGTTGCTGCAATTAGAGGAATATGATCCTGCAAGTTTTTATTTGAAACACATTTGGAAGAAGCTGGATTTCACAGAAAGTCAGTGCAGTAATGCCAGCAGAAAGATTGAAGTTGTTGATGCTATGGTAGTGAAAGAAATAAAAACAGTCACGAGACTAAAAAGTAAACTGGTATTTTAAAGTACCCTCTGTTGAATTTGTAGTAACAAGGCACTTAAAAAGCATTTTTAATAAAAATTATGAAATAATATTTTAAAATACTGTTTTTAAGATTATATACCTGAATATTCTAGTATATCAACACTTTTTCATATAAATAGTACGAGAGAATATAAGTATCTGCACATACATGCTTTTTTGTGAAAATTAACTCTTCTTTTGCAATGCACTCAAAACATTTCCATACCGTACAAGAGTATTTAATCTTCCATTAATAATCTTCTCTGAATATAAACTGAAATATAAGCTGAATTTGACTTCACAAAAAAAGACGACAATTTATAATTGTATTCCTTGTAACTTGGACACAAAGGGATCTCGCAAATTAGGAAGACTATTTATGTAAGATACCAAGCTTCTATTGTCTCAAAATAACTATTTTATTCTTGTTTGTCCACTTGGCCTCATATGCAGTCCAGATCACATTCATTATTTCTGCATTACTGAGAGAGAATAAGATTAGTCTAATTTTTGTTCAGCTACTAAGATTTCAGATAACATCAGGAAGATTAGTTCACTTATCCTCAGAGTAGTATGCATCTTTTTCAGCTATCAGAATGTGCATTCTTTTCCTCTCCAAAAGAATTGTTTACTAATTGCTAAACTGAGCTTTGTATCAATAGTAATTGTCCTCCAGTGGAATGTTCTAGGCATGAACACAATATAATTTTCTACAGAGATACCTTATGATTATTTCCCCCCCCAGCATCCTGCATTGTTGTTGGGTTAGCCATGCTCTTATGTGTTAATGCATATAGTAGCAATGTATGATAGTATGCATTAATTTCATAAACAAATTCCAAAGCAGACTGTAAACACCATAAATCATGCTTCATTTTTGTTGTATGCCTCTTAAATAGTGAAAACAATTGCCAAGAACTCAAAAGAACTCAAACTAAATTGACAAGTAGCCTGTAAAATCTCAAAGTCAAAAAGACTGCCTGTTGAAACAGAAAAATCTGTTCAGATGCTTATGAGAAATCCTTTACTTGTGAAAACCTATTCTTCAGTCAAAAATTACTCCTTTAAGTGCGGAAGATTATGCAATCCCATTTTTCTCTAGCTGGCATGCTTACACAGGATTGAACAGCTCTACAGGATTAAAAATAGGACTTTTTGAGAAGATGGAAATTTGACAGTGACAGACCTGAAAACTTTTAAAAAAAAATATTTATTTTTACACAAAGCAACAGTTTCTCATGCTGTTTTCTCCTACAGACTTACATATGAACATTAAGGAGCATGGGGGAAAAAAAAAAAAAAGAAAAAGAACATCCTCAGTGATTCAGGGTTTAACTTGCTGAAAAAGAACAGTGCAGGTCCTGCTTCATTTTTATTAAACATGTATCTGGCAGAAACAATAATGATACCTAAACTAGACAACTAGTTTCTCAGGGACACAAAAAGATTCCAGGTGTCGCTATACTAACAGGTCTTCCAGTCATACCAACTCATTTACTTAAATCTTCCCCCTTTCCTTCCCATGAGCCAGCTCAATCTTTCTGGATTTTTACATTTTTATATATTATTCCTATTCTGTGGCTTTGGACCTGCAATATTTACAAACTGAAGCCCATTATAGCTAGATGCACAAATATAGAATTTAAGTAAATGTACTCAATATAATCTTTAAGGCAATGGAAGACTTTGCTAATCTAAAGTAACTGCCCCTACTCATACTCCCTCATGTCCTCCAAGCTGCTTAAAAAGCACAAAGCTGCACTCATCATGATGATGAGCCATCTCCAAGAGAAAAGATGTGAGCCAGTAACTGCCGTTCTGCTGGCAAACAGTAAGAAGCTGTAGAAAATTCACTGAGACCAAGGAAAATGTCTCAGAGCATGTGACAGGGAGGACCTCTTGAGCCTGTGACACATGCCAGTCATAGTGATTCTTAGCTCTTTTCCATAATATTACCACCATGGGGTTTGTGCATATGGCAAGCAGTACTTTCCCAGTCAACTTCAGAAAGAGAAGATGGGATTGTAGGTTAGTAATTATCAATTTCATGTCAGTGCATTCTTTATTTTGGAATACTACCCTGGTATATTGGTCACACATCACAAATCTCGAGGATTTTAAACCACTTAAGAGTCAGTATTTAAAAGAAGAAATAGTGTTTCAACTCAGTAGAACAAAACAATTACTAAAATTCTTTTAACCAGCAAATTAAGAGGTATCTTAACGATTTTAAATCAATGTACTCACCACTTTTTTAGCATCTATATTTTGTGACTCACTTGATTTCTGCTTTCCAAGGTTTTTCATGTACCTATGAACTTCTGAATCAAAACATTCAGCTCCATAAAATGCACTGCTCCAACCAGGACTACAGCCATGAAAGTCAGATAGGTTGGGAGACACAAGGTAGCTGTTTCCAGCTATTTTCATCATGGTCTCTTCCTCGGGCTCTGTATTTTCTTCTGCAAAGCCTGGATCAGTACAACTGCCGTTGCCTTGTAAACACTGTTGTTCTTTCTCTGAGGGGGCAGTATTGTGCAGCCTCAATTCTTTTTTGATATTATCCGAAGGTGACTCATCAAATTCCATTTCAGCTAATGATGTATTTATCATAGGCTCAGCCTTCACATCAAAGGCTGCTTCCCCTTCTCCTAAAGAGGGTGTATGGGGGGGAAAGAAGTAACAGTCATGTGCTGTGATGCACGTTTTGCTGAACTTAAACACTACACATACAAAACAGTTACGAGACTACCTATGTGCTCTAACAGTGGTGTTAGATGCTTATTTTGGCTCCGTGCTTTTGTACAGTAATAAATGTTGATGACATCTCAGAATTTTTAAGCAATAGTTACACAATACAATTACGGAAGTAACAATATTTTCTGTGCATATGGAACAAGCATTTAAAAAAAGTACAGAAGCGTTAAAACAAAAGATAACTATGTCAGATCTGTGCAAGTATTAGTAAAAAGCTTAGCTCTTGATATTTTTTCCATCCATAATTCTTGAAGCTTTTATTGCATACATAGAAGGCAAGAATTTTTGATGTAGCCAAAGGGGACACAGATGTTAAACCTTCTACTCCTACGAGACTCACTCCTTTGAGCTACGATGGGACTTTACAGTTCTAACTGCTACTACCAACCTTAAGGGACAGAGGAGACAGTCAAAGGTTGGCATGATGCTGACAGGAGCTTTTACATCTGCCAGAAGTCTCCCTTTTCACTTGAGCAACCCTCCAGGGCTTAGATATGACACCTTGGAGTCAAACGGACCTAAACTACTGGTGCAAAGAAATCACATACCCTATGGGAAAGTCTGGCTCTACTTTTGCAATCATTCTGAGCCAAAATGGAAAACTGTAACAGAGAATGACAGCAGCCAAGTGCAAACTTAACTTTTATGGCAAAACATAAATTTGTAAAATGTAGGGGTATAATCCATTCTGTAAAGAACACATGGTTTAACTTTAATCAAAACAGAGAAGTAACCAAATTTAAATGCTGAAACTTGGCTGAACTATCTTGGAGAGAAAAAAAAAAAAGAGGAAATAATACTGAAACAACAGCAACCAAATACAACCTGTTCATGAATCAAGCCCTGAAAGGGTTATGGTTTTGTTATTATAATGGGATTTACCAGTCCCAGCTCAGTTTTGAGCTCAGTTACTGAAAGTGACCTTCAATCACAAAATGTGAAGTACAAATAAACAATCCACTAATATAATAACCTCAATGAGTGCCCTGAAATGGCATCGTGGAACCAAGATTGTGATTAAAAGGCAAAACTATCTTCATTATAATTTGTCCCACTATTCATTTTAGTATCTATTTTTAAAAAGGCACTTCAGTGGATAGAAAAGAGACGTGGAAGAATTTCTAGGAGAGACATAAATACCTGTTTATGAAAACCCTTTTGATGAAATTAAAAACACCCATTTAAATGCAAAAGCAATGAAGTTTCTAGACTTCAGTACAATTCCCTTCCTCAGAATTTGTAAATAATTTTATTGACAGGTTTTTTTTATTTTAATGCATTTTATTTACCTCATTGCTTAGTTTTGTTTTAATTCTGATATGTGAACAAAGAAGGACCAGATTTGTTGCACAGCCATCCTTCAATCAATCAATCCTCAATTTCTTCAGTAACACCTAAGGACTCATAAACATCTTCTAAAGTTTTCCTCTCTGCCTAGCTAAGCTTGCTATGCTGTCTGGAGCTGACCCAGTATGGCTGTCCCCCTTCCCTCTTGTTCCTTTAAAGCATGCCACTGGAACATCTAGTGGATGAACACAAGAAAACCATATGCAGCAGTTAGGATTTTGGGAGTTCTGTCACAGGCACATCTATGTAGATAAAAGTGAGTAAAAGTAAATTAAATGGGGATCCCACTCACCGACACTTGTTTATATGTAAGCTTCACATGAAAGACAACAGGTCCCCAAGGCCAATGTTCAGATTCACTAACAATGCTTTTAAGTGCTAAGGTGGGTATTTTCCTGAAGACACACTCAAAGTCCTAATCTCTCAAAACTTGCATCATTGATAGATTTCCTAGCACACACATAGATCTAGAAACATGAAGTCCTTTCTCACCCTCTGTCTGATCACCGCTTGTCAAGAAGCTATCAGAATTCTTTAGATCTTGGAATACATTGCCACACTTTGAATCATCTGCCTCAGTTATGCTGAAAGTATAATAAAATTAGGGAAAATTAATGTTTCATATACCTTTATATTTACATCAGTAAAATGAGATCTTACAAAAGACTCTAAGTATGTGAAGGGCTTCATAGCATTTATCTACCTCCCGAAGTTCGCATGTTCAACTTCAGTTGTTATTTCACAAGAAGAAAATGTTCAAATGGATATTAAAGCATACTGAGCAAGATACGGAAATTTCCCCTTACAGCATTTGGCAAAATTCCAACAGAGGTATCAGAAGACATACAAACAGAAGGCATAACTCCAGGCATAACTTAGACTGTGAGTTACAGTAATGGGTTTTCATTCAGGATTCAACCTCTGGTTAACAGTCTGACTTTAAGTCACCCCTAATAAGAATAATAAGTTATATAACATAACTTATTCAAAGAAGGTTAACACTTAAAACCTGCTACATTCTTTATCTAAAATAAATATAGAATAAATAAAGAATATAGCAGTATCTCAGCATATTATTTGTCTAAAGAAGTAAGCAGTGTCTCAGAGAGATTTTCAGGCAGTTCTTGCATGTGATCTAAAAGCTAGATCTCTATTTTTTACCAGTTAAATGACGATTTCCTTTCCACTTTCATTCTCAAAAACTTTGTAACAAAATTTCATATAGAGGTTTATCATCTTAATATATGCTAGTAATTCATCTGCAACAGCTCAAGTTTCTTCTACCATCACATTCAACCTCAGGGAATTAAAAGCCTAACCTCCAACCAATTTTCAATGGCTCATTAAAAATCCAAACCCAAATGGGAAATAAACCAGCACATCAGGGTCCGATATCTGGAGGTTGTACTTTCTTCTTTCTGAAACTTGCTGTATGGATTATACATCTTTTAACACTGACGTTTTTACATACCACATCTACCAAGCTTCTTTGTCAAAATTTCCAATCTGTAATTCCAGACCATGAGTGACAAAAAACCCCATACATAACTTCCACATATAAATTGATTACTGTTTAAAATAGCCTTCAGGAAAAAGCTTTTATAAGTATGCTACATTTGGAGGCTGCAATAAAACAAGAATGCTTTTTATTATTTTTCAGGTAGATATGTCACTGAAAATGAAATAGTAACATAAGAAATTAATATGCGGGTGTTTTCTCACTTAATAGGCCAATTACAAAGACTGCCAGGAGGAACACTAAGTCAAACTAAACCAGTTAAGAAAAGTATTTCTAGCAAAGATAACTTAATTTCCTTATTCTTAGGTGTGAATAAAACAAAAGAATGTATGAAGAACTAAACTCAAACAGAATAAGCAAATTGAACAGTAAGAAAAATATATTCCACTTCTGATTAAACAGCCTTTTTCTAACAAGACCATGAAGCCAATGGTTGAAAACATTGATTAGAGTTTGGTTTCCGTTAGTCAGCTATCCTAATTTGGGAGTTACACACAAGCTTAGTGCTTAGCCATTAAGCACTATTTGCCATGGGGAAAGCCATGAAGTATCTAATAGAATGTGAAATTAGCAGTGTGCAGGAAACAAGTATACCTGAAGAGAAGCAGCATATCCCTTCCTGCTTCTAGAAAGTAGGGAGAAAAGCATTAAATTGAACTGTAGGAAGGAAAAAGTTTAAAAACACCTACCATAAATGTGAAGGTCTTTCTCCATTTACTACCCGATAAAGATTCTCCAGTAATTTTTCATCCCAGTAGAGATCACAAAATTTTTCACAAATTCTATCAGAGAATATGCGAAACTGAATTTCCTTTAAGTTTAAAATGAAGTTACCTTGTTTAAAAAAAGAAGCAACAAGAGAGAAAAGCCATTAACAACAATATTCTTACACATCAATGACAATAATCTACAGAAGAAAATCTACATACCCATATCAAAAACTTCAACTCCATTCTCTAGATAGCCATCAAACGCAAACTCCTCCTGTATAAGATGAACCACTTCCTGTAGTAAAGTGTCACTTGTTCTGTTCTGCTGGGGCAGGACTTCAGCATTAAAGAGATGAGAATTTTCTTGATTCACTGAGGTACATGGTATGTATCCTTGTTCAGTGAAAATACTGTCTACACTGGCAGCACATTCAATTTCTTGGCAGTTGGTGTGAATAACTGGGTTACTTTTATCTAACTTGTTCTGTGTATTAGCAGTCTCACAGTTTTGCACTTTGTAAAGGCAGGCATCATTTTCTGTCTGCATGCTTTTTTTATAACTTGCAATAGTACTTGAAAGTAGAACTGGCAAACTATGACAGCAATCATAAGCAATTCTTGAACGAAGAGGTTTATTTGGTATTTGCTCTGATACAGCTAAATGTACTGGTACAAATGTTGTAACTCTTTTCTCTGAGTCCTGTTTGAGAATGATGTTATTTATATGAAGAAAATTAGGAGACGTAGGACAAGCTGCAGAGTTTGAAGGAACTTCAGGTAATATGCTCTTTTCCTGTAGAATATGTGAGGAATCAGATGGTGATGGTAAAGTAACTACAGAAGTACATGCATTGCCTGGCTTTTGCTCTTCTGAAGATATCTGGGACGAATGGCCTGGAACTTGTAAACCACACTCATGTATTTCAGGTGCAGGAACATCTGTGTCCTCAGTACCACAGCTTTTAAAGTCTTCTGTAAATCCTGATTTGTTGTTGTCCGCATGTTTTTCTTTTCTTGTCTCTTTCTTGAATTGCTCAGAAACTGGTGTGTGAACCTCTCTGAAAAGGAAAAAGAATTATTTTTGAGGACAATTCCACTAGATTTAACAATTTATTCTCAAGTTTAACTTATTCTGCATTAGGATATACTAACTTTGTTATATTTTCATTTTGTTGCAGAATAATAGGCTTGAAGTGAGTTGCAGGAGAGGTGAATGCAACAGGTAATGTAGCTTTCTCACAGTTTAGAGAAATCTGGCATGGTACTGGTCCTTTAACTGCTACAAGTTTACTTGCACTGGTAACAGGCACAAATCCTAAAAACAAAAACACAGAAAAATGAACAATATGTATAATATAAATGCAAGGTAAATAACAATCAATTTAGAAAAAAAACCCAACAAAACCCAAAACCACACACTTGACTGAGAAAATACTACATAGAGAACTGATCTAGAGAACACTAAAACAAAGTAAACGTGTCAGTCTGACTGCTTACCTAGACTTGACTCTGAAGGGTCCATTTCATGTCTTTCATTTTTAAACGCAAAAGCAACATGATCTTGAGACGACATTATGTCTTCCTCAACAGCCTAGCAATTAAAATTGCAGTCCAAACTGAATTTATGAGCTTTTTTTTTTTCAATTGTGCTCCAGTTTAAATTACTTCCAAAAAAAAAAAAAAAACCCCCGAAAAACCAAACCCAATAACCCAACACCCATATAAATCTAGAATGTTGCAAAGCAACAATCTAGTCATGCTAAGGTGGAGAATTAAAACAAATGGCATACAAAACTCTAAGGACTGTTAGAACCATCTGGAAACCTCTGTTTCAAATTAGAACTTTCAGGTAATCAAAGATATGAGCAAAGTCAGTTCCCTGGATTGACTGAATACTCTGTGCATTATATAATTAAGTTACTAGTTCTTCACCTATACAGACTGTAGAGTCAGGGCACCAAAATCTGGGGAGTGACCACTACAACAGCAAGAACTAGAAAAAAATAAATCAATACTTAAAAGCTATTTAAAGATAAATTAAAAAGAGAACAAATCTAACTATATGTGCAGGGGATGAAAGTCTTACTGGAACACAATTTACAGAATTAGTTGGAAAAAAGTAGACAATTAAAAAAGGTAGCGCTCTTACCTTAAAGACAGATTTATTCAACAATGCCAAAATATTTTTGCTGTTTACACCTTGTTCAAATAAATAACGACTGCATGTCTTAAAAAAAAAGAAAGTCATGACTTCCAGTCAGTAAATAAGTTTTCAATCAAGTGAGATATTATTGAACAAGGACAAAGTCAAGCTAAGTAGTAAATTGGAAGTAATCTAAGTTCAGCATGTCTTATGAACCTATTCCAAGTACCTTATTGACAATTTCAATATAAATTAAAAACACACCTCTTTGGTGTCCCTAGGGAGGTAACTTGTAAAACAACTCCCATGGTGTCAGATTATGATTTAATTAGATACCAGTTTATTACAAAAATAAATTAGTATTTTGATATTCAAATTACTAAAATAATACTTCAGACAACTAGATTACACATAGAATTGCTTAAATGTAGTAACCTTAATTGCATCAGCTAGAGAAGGTCTTTCTTCAGGGTTTCTTCTTGCCATATCCAGAAGAAGTTTTTTAAATTTTCTTGGCAATGCTAGTTTGTGACTTGGTGGAACACTGGATTTTGCAGCCATCCACAGTACTGCAGCAACACCATAAACGCAGACCTGGTACAAAGTAAGAGACAGGAAAGATGTAAACAGACCAAATTAAAAGCTTCCACTTCAAAATCAATTCCAGCAAATTATGCAAAAATTCCTCTCTTTCCCCACAAAAATAATAATGTCTAGAGCTTCCAAAGTACAGATTACATTTGCTTTTGAAGATGTTGATGAAAGTCCCTGCCCATTAAAGAAAATAGCTATTATGCATGCAGGGCAAATAATAGTAGCTAATTTTCTACTTTTAGAGTAACAGACATAATTTGTCTTATCCTTTCTCTAGGAAAATTTTTCAGGAAAAAAGTGTTTTTAGAATCATTTTGAAGAATTCCTTTCTCATGTAAAAAGTTAAGGTTGCTGCAAGCCTTAGAGTTTTACCATAAAACCTGACCAGCTGTAATTTACTTAAAAAGGTCATGATAGTTCAGCAAGTAAATGGCACACAGTAATTACGTGCTAGCCAATACAAGTCGTATTTTACAGAGAAGATTACATGTATCAGAAGAATGACGTACTGTATATTTATTTCAGCAATTATTGTGCAGCTAGACCAACTGAACTTGCCATGATGAAGGACCTCTAAAAGTACTTGATCATCACAAGCTTTCTTGTTTTATTTGAAGAATTAGTTTTCAGACAAAGCCAGATTTCGCCTACTTAATGCTTAGTTTACGTATGTTAGCATGTACTACAAATGCAATTTTGACAAAGTTAAAGCACCATGCTTCTTCACATTGTCTCTGAAAGATATTAAAAAGGACAGAAAACTAAGCACAGTACTGAAAAACGTGGTCCCATAAAACAATGTTTTCTAGCACTCTTATGACCAAAGTAAACAGCAATGAACACAACGTAACAAGGAAGTTCACTATAATGAAAATAACCTGTGAACCAGTTGAACTGCTGAACAAAAGCTAGTAGTAGATACAAAAATATCTGAAGTAGGAGAAAGCAGCTCCATCAAACCAAAAAACTTTCTTCCCCTTAAGTTCAGAATTCCAAGAGATCAATGGAATCACAATGTTAACCTACTTTATTTATTTAAATTTAAATTACATTTAAATTTATTAAATTACATTCATTTATTTAAATCAGGACAGCTTATTCTATATGTAATGTTGTAGATAAACAAGTCAAAAAGATTACTTTTCTAAAGAAAAAGAATAAAGCATAAAGACTTCAGAGTTATTAATTCCTACTGTCTGGTGAAACTGCTATATTGTATTTCAGGGTTAGCTTAAGCTTGTGAAGCCTTTAAAAAAGCTGCATATTGGATCAAAGCAGTTTAAGAAGAAAAAGCAGTTTTAAATAAGATATATAAATATTTTCTAGCTACAGATAATTTTACAGAAAGTCAAACTCTGTCGTTAGTAGATTTTTTATAAAGTTTTTTTTCTAATTCATTACTAGTGTCTAATTTTAAAGAACTCATGGGCACAAGGTACATATTAGCTAATATTTTTTCTTGTTATAGAGTGGTACCATAAATTATTTTTTCCTAACTGTTAAGATCACTGTAGTACAGTTTGCTATTCAGATGCAGTTGCAGTGGAGACACACTCACCTGCTATTAATTAACATTTTTATCATCCCTGGTCTAAGAGCTCCTTATGGCTTTTATCTATAGCAAAAAGCTCTAGGAAAACTATACTGGTAAAAGACAATAATTCATAATGTTCCCATAGTAAAAATACGCTGATAGTGATATTTAACCCAGTCTTCCAAATGAGATTAATGTTTGGGCTTTAGCCTAAACAGTGCAAAGTATCAATCTTAGCATGACCTCCAGAAGGTGAAAATATGACTTCAAAGTCTGTCTTATTGCTAACAAACTAAAAATTATTAAGTCTTATGGAAAACTACTGATTAACAGATTTTTGGCAGTTGCTCCAACAATTTTGGAAGGCATAATTATTTTTCAGAAGCAACTAATTTTATGGGAGATGAATATACAAAACCCCACAGATAACTAAGAAATACTGGGGGAAATAAGAAATATGAGAACCGTAGAAGAGTTTAGCTTTCTTCCTCAAGCAGCAGGGGACACAATTGTCCTTTGATAAAATACTATGCATAGCAACCTACATAACCTACCACATTACCTTCTCAGTATCCACATACTCTTCTTCAATTTCAGGAGCTAAGTAAAATATATCACATGATTCTAAATAAGAAAAGAAACAAGAAACAAAAGGTAAGATGTTTGGTTTCTTCTCCACTCAGCCCCAAAAGAAATAAAAGCAGAGCACTCAAATGTATTAGTTTACCTTCAGCTTTTGGAGCAGCAAAGAGGATACTTCCATGGCAGTCAATCAGCACAGAGTCCAAACATAAGACCACTGCAAAACAAGCCACAAAAGGACAAGGCATAATAAATATCTGTCTTCTAACTGTTTGACAATAATAAAAATAAATAATTTAAAAAAAATAATTTGCAGTGTCAGCAATCACCCTATGATAAATGATGCTTCAAATAATACTAATATTAGAACAGGCACCACCCAATAAAGAGACAGTAGATGTGTAATCACCCAAAGCAATTCCTGCAGAATAGATAAGAGAGTAAAACAAAATGGGATCACAATTAAAAAAAAGGGCTTAGAACACCACAACTTTATTCTCTTTATATTCAGCATTGAAAAGGAAGGCCAAGAAAGGAACAAAACAGAAAAAGAAATAAAACAGCTAGATGCACTCTAGTATTCTCACAAGGTACCAATAAAGACAGTCAATTTATCTTAAGCTTTTAACATCTCCTTTCTTCCCTCCTCCAACCCCATCAAATGCATTATTTGGGTTATTACCTGGAGACAGTTGGAACATATGTGGCCAGATGCAGAACTCCTAAAGGTGGGATAGGATATGGAGTCCAGTTTTGCACAAATAGTTGTAACTGCATACACTGAATAAGTGTTACATACATTGGTATTTGCAAGGCCCTGAAATTTTCCACAGTTAGGAAAGTAATAACTGACTTCTAAAACTATTTTAAATTATCTGAGGTTATCAGCAACTTAACATTAAGGTCAAGAAATCGTGTTACAAAAAACTTGTGGTAAGACTGTGTCTATCTGTTTGATGTCTTCAAAGCACACTGTAATTTAACATGTTTCCATATAATAAGCCAATTGGCTAGCAATGTAGTCCTGCCTTTGTAGACTACCATTGAATATGTTGTTTTGCCTTTGTAGACTACCATTGAATATGTTGTTTTCATATTAAAAACAGTAGCAGGAGAACAGATTCTTACATTAACTTAAGAGGTTAAAAATATTAAATTTATTAATTATTAAATAATATATTGAAGAGGCTTAAGAGTAAAACACAGAAGACATCTAAGAAAATTAAAGTAACAAAGAAAACAAATAATCCTTTTGCTTTTGTAGTTACCTGTATAAAACACATCTAAAGCCATTAAACTGCTCACTATGCTTAATGTAAATACAGGCTTGCCTACTACCTTCAATAATATTTAAGCTGGATCTGAAGTATGTGTTTTGAAAAGCAAAGCTTCTCCAAATGGGAACCTTTACGAGTTATTTTTGTAGAGGCATGTCCCCTGAGAACAGTTCACGCTATCTTTACTTCTCAAGAGTTATGCCTTTGGCCGTGAATCTGCAACACAGTTCGTGCTAACCAATTCTAAATGACAGTGCAACATGAGAATTCTCATGTTCATTAAAGTGCCCATGAGCAACATGTATGCTACATCCCTGCTAAGAGAAAAGGAAATAAGTAAAGTCTCGGTGGAGGGTACAAATCCTCCTGCAACTTTTGTAGCAGGACTGAATTAAAAGAATACATGAAGAAGGGCATATGTTCTTACCCAGATCATTCCTGC